CGACAAAAAATTTTTGGGGCCCGGATACTGGAATAGCGCCGATGAGTTATTACTACCACGATTGAAAATGTACTGCCTTCTTTCAAAATGCTTTCTTTCGAAAGCAATATATCCATATGGCATCTGACGTAAGTGTGTTTTGAGCACCAACCTATCCTTTATAGAAAACTTACTGAGTGAGACAGGTAATCGTAGAGAGATCCATGAGGGTGATATTCAGTGATCAACCACAGCTGCATGGTGGTACCAGTATCTGGAAAGCAACAGACTATCACACATGCTTAAATCTTGTGAATTTTTCATATAGACATATAAAGACTGACGAGTGAGAAACATTGTTTTTTTTTTCACTAATGAGAGCTTATGAAGCTAATCTTAATAATCAAATGCTGAGAAAACAACGGGATGACTGAAACAGATACCTTTACTGTCACTTGCATAGAACTGCAAGATATTTGGATGGCGTAACATGTGCGTTTGGAAAGTCTCTACTTCATGTGACCATGAGCCTTCGTCGCGTGAAGAGAAGATCTTCACAGCAACCATGTCACCTTTCCAAGCCCCCAACCAAACCTTAAATTAAGTGAGTTAAATAGATTATTCTCCATAACACATCATAGCAGACTATAGGAGGAAGTCTAAAACTCACATCACCAAATCGTCCCTGACCAATTTCACGTACGAGTTCGATTTGCCTAGCGATGTTGCGTTGCGTGAGCAAGGGCAAGCCTAAAATTCAATTTACTGCAACAACGCTGCTACAAAGGGTAATCAGTAAATAAAGTATGGTGGACCAATAAAGTTTGAATTTAACTCAATGGTGGTACTGACCAGAACCAGACCCCGATCCAGCATCTGTTGACTCAAGTCCTTTCAGCAGCAGAAGTTGAATTGCAGGTGCAGACGTAGTAGTTGTTTGTGACATCGTTTCAATCATTGGCACCTCATCTTCTCTGCTGTAAAGAATAGACTTAGGCCGAGATTGGCTTTGAATTGGTGAAAGTGCTACAAGACTTACGGTGATATGTGATTCAGCGCAGAAGACATAGCGGGACCCAAACGTAGATACTTACGCATTATAGCAGCAATTCTTGGATTTCGTAGCAGGGCTAGAGCAGCAGCACCAAAGATCGCCAACTGAAACATGTTTCAAAAGCAAAATTTTAGCAGAATAACAAGGGTGTTGACATAGATTCCATGAAGACATTAAATGTGTCCGATAATGAGTAAACAGAATTATTTTAATCCCATAAAGGTTATCATACTTGACTTTAATGCCAGCTGATAATAACCTTGGATCTGATAGATTTGTCTAATAGGTTTTGATAGGTTTTTTTTTTTCAAATGTCAAGCTGTAGCATTGTTCATTTCAGAAAA